TATTTCAGTTCCTCTACAAGTCAAGAAGGTTAGATTGCACTTCTCTTCTGCAGTTAAATTATTTTCATCCTGATGTGTATGTGTGTGTGTATTAATGTATGTATATGTATGTGTACACACAGGCTTATTACAGATCTTAAGTAGTCGAGAAGTTTAGATTAGAGTTCATTTCCTACTCTTTAATGCCATTTTGCGCGTACACTCTAATATATACATATAGAGCGTAGGAGGTGAATGGATAATAGTGGAAGTGAAGACTGAGTTTCATATTTCGAGAGTACTAGAAATTTTCTTGTGATTTTGATTGCATGAACGTAAGTACAAATAGATAGTTGCATGAATTAATTTTGGTGACAATATTGGATCAAGAATTGTTTATTGATGAAATTTTGGTATGGAAGTCAATATTAAATCAAGAAATCAGAATAGTTATGTGGAGAAATCTAAGTGGCATAAGACGGAGCGTTGAACTAAATGAAACGAAGGGAGTTATTTAGTAAATCTTATTGAAAATAAGATACAATTTGTTGTTCTAGTGTAATCTTAAGATAATAATATATACCCATTTAGTATATATTTGATTGTTATGATAAAAGTGTTACACAATGATACATATAGCTTATTGCGGTACATTCCACATTACCAAACAAGCATTTCAAAATAATTAGGAAATTGAACGTACTATGATACATAAAACACAAAATTTGGCAATGAAAAAATAGTTTGGAATTCGACAACCTCTTGTTCACTTTAAAAAGATGAAAGTTGTGAGTTCAAGCCTCGGCATGTCTCAAGGAAATTAATACATACACCAAATCATGTCTCCATTATCCAATATGTGTTCTAATTATAAGTTTTGGGCATTGCAGATTCCTTCATATCAATCAAGTTTGAAAACAATGGTGTTCCTTCATGGGATAAGGATCCAATCTCCAAAATATCACTTGGCCAGCAATGTGACATGTCTTTGAATCACGACTTGAGCAAGGTCAAGAAGATCAAGAGTGTAGTCGAACACTCGAAACTGCATCCGATGCTGAGGTGGCAAAAGCGGATTGGACATCTATTCCAGCTCATCAGATGGAAGAAGTCAAGTAAAGGTCATGTGAGCATAAAGTTAAAAGGAGTAAAGATTAAACATGGATGGATAAGAAGTCTGACAAGAAAGAGGACCAAAGAATAAAGGGACTTTGTGCAGAAAGAGACCCTTGAGCTTTTCCTCCACTACGTGCACATTTTACCTGTTGGGCCTGCTTCTAAGTGTGAATTTAAAGCAATCATATATATATATATATATATATATATATTATGTACATGCATTTGAGACGCTTCTTGCTCTAAAAAAGAAGAAAGATTTATCGAAAATTGACAAGTGAGTTGGTCCAACAGCCATTTTCCTCTCTCTAAAGTATCTTTTCAATTCCATATAGCTCATTCTTTTTTGGGGTCTACATATGTGTGTATATGCATAAAGATTTACTTTGTAAAGTGTTTTAGAACAAGAATGAGTGGACACTTTTTGTCTAAAAAGTGAGCAATTTGAAGCTCCAAACATTAGAAAGGTAGTAAAGAACATTTTAAAAACCATGTATTAGGCAATTCTGCAAAGAAAGAAGACATAAGCCCATTTTTGATGCTCCAAGCAAGGTAACATTAAAACACAAAGGCCATATTATTCTGCAAAATCTTGTCATTTTGTTGCCTTTAGGAAGGGGAAAATAACTAGCCTTTCTTTCTAGAGCAATTGAATTATTATCGGGCTAATATATGTTGAACCACTTTGTCTTAAAAAACTATTAGAGACGAGATGAATTTATCTATTTAAGCTTTTTTCTTCAAACCCCTCACATACGAACCAAGTTCTTTTTTTTTTTTTTTTTAATCACGGTTTGACACGTACAATTTCATAAATGGGTGGCAACAAGATCTGAAATAATAATTTTACTTGCTCTCATCTTGAGTAAACCACATCATCTAAAAGCTCGATCATTTATAGAGAAGATTTGTTTCCCATAATACTGGATTAATATGGGATACATTGTCGGGAGAGAAAATCAAATGCTTGAGGAGTATGTGTAATAATAATATGGTAATGCTCTCCTCAAAAAAAATATGGAGTATTTTGAAGTTTCCAAAGATTTTTAATTCTCTCTTTATCCTCACAAGTGCAGAATGGCTAGCATGTGCAAAGTGACTCATTCATAGGTGTCTTTGTTTTAGTTATGTCATTGCATGGTAAGAAAGAAGCCACCAGGACAATGTCCCCTATATTGGCTCTACCTAGCCAGGCGACAACTATTAAAGGACCACTAAATATGCATCGAGGTTAAGAAATTGCTTGGACTTTAACAGAAAATAAATCCAAAGAAAAGAAAACGTTGAGATAGAAAAATATAAAAGATATAAAAGGCTCAAATTGACTTCGTACCCTTCGTTCAATGAAAAAAGGGGTCAAATTTTACAGGAAGTGTCATCTGTTGTCCGCTTGGTAGACGGGTTTATACATGGAACTTATTCTATCCTCTATTCCCCGGTTCTATTTTACTAGTCAACAGTGCGTTTAAACTAACCCAAAAAAACCCTTAAAAGAGCACGAGTCTTGAGTTGATTAACTATGATATGCTAATTACTATTCCTAAACAAGATTATTCCATCCCTTCTAAAGCTGTCTCCCAGAAGCATAATACTTGTTCTTAAGAAGAAGCAAACAGCAGCATCCTTAGACTCAGTTCAAAAAAGTTGAGGAGAAAACAACAGTGATAGAGAGAGACAAGTAAAGAGTTGGTGAATATGACCAGACCCCTCAACCCTATCATCCACCACAAATCAAAAAAATGTGGCTGGAATAATAAAAGGGCGAAGCTTTTATTACTTTTTCATTTCATTACAAGATCCTTTTGCAAGCTCGAGTCAAAGTCCAAATACTTTATTGAGGCACATTGGTTTGTCACGTAGAAAGGAGACCATCAATATTTGTGGGGTATGTTTGGCAAATAGTCTTTGACAGCCCTGCACTGTATAATGGACAATATTTTAACTTCTTTTTAGTCATTAATCTTATTTCATGCACTCCAACCAATATACAGTACTGAACAGTACTATAGAGCTTAATAAACAATATTTTTACTTCGTTTTCATCATTAACCATAACTCATAAAGTCTCATATCAAGCATGGCCCCGTCCAATATATCAAATATGCCGATAAAGTTTATTTTAAATAAGAGCTACCACGGCTTTGGAGCAACTGGTAGGCCTCTGAAGATCTTGATCCCTTCCTTTTCCTATTTCCCCTTCATTTCACTTCAAGCAAGAACAGTCCACATGGTATGGTTCTTCATAATCAATCTTTTGAGTATGGAATGCAACGTTAATTTCTGCGGTTGATAAGAATTCAACACGATCTTTAAAGTGAGAAAAAAAAAACAAATTCGGGATATTTATTCTAAATACGAGTTATTTGCCTAAGAAAACAAGTATTAAGATGACTACATGGAATTTGATGCATTCAACTTAAATTCTCTTCAACTCCAAGTACACAGAACTATAGAGGAACACATTTATTCATTGACATGTCTACCTTAAGATCCATTTGATGGCAAAGGTGAAAAAGACAAATCAATTCCATGTAAGTTGGAAAAGAAAAAACCATCAAAACCATAAGAATTCGATTTCCATGAAATTGGCCAAAAACATGTTTTAAATGTTTGTACCTTGGAATTCGAACTCCAGTTTCACTTTCGTATCAAACAATTAAAGTAAAAAACGAATTTCTCGGATGTGACATTTTCCATAGAATTGGGTGCTATCAAATGACCCTAAATGAAATTTGAGAAAAATTACTCAAAATTTAATTTTTCTCCCAGTAATAAAAAGTGGTAGCTACCACGGTTAAAATGGCTTAATGTATACTTCTTGTGAATCGAGTAATAAGTTTAAGAGGTAAACAAGTAAAATATTTAAACAATATATAAAAATTTAAACACATGCCCGCAATAACCTTAAGTTGTCTCGAAAATTATAATACATTAACAAAAATAAAAATCTAACTTGTAAGCAAACAATACTATATTTTAAAGAATCAATGAATTCTCAAAATTAGTAATCGAATATCCAAATCATGATCTCCTACTAGAATCAAACAACTTAAAAGTTCCCCTATATTATCTATACTAATAATTTTTTAAGAGAAAATCACCAAATTTGATTCTTGATCACCCTCGTCGTTATCAGTTTTTTATCATTCTATATGATCATGTCGTAGTTGTGTAATGGTATCTTCTCCTTCCTCTTATCCTTCATTTAAAGGTGTTACAAAAAATGAAAGCAGTACATTAAGTGTGATCATTACTATTGAACTATCAAATGACAAAATGAAAAGGTCAGATTAGCCAAGATAATGGCCATTTTTTTCTCGTGAAGATTTATTTCGTGCCAAGAATCAAAATTTTCTTTACAAACAATATTCAAAATTCAAGAAAATTTCAAGCGAAAATATTCATTAGTCAAATAATTTAACTGAGTCAAAACATCAGTTCATGGGTGTCACATAAAAAGTTCTAAGTTACGACAAAAAAAATAGTCAAAAAAGATGGGATGAGGAATAAAAAGTCTGAAAAATGCAAATCAAATGCACACCTCAGCCTAAGGGTTAGCCTTGAGGAACCTCAAACAGTTTTGATGAACAATGAATAGCCAAACTATGTTCTTATTTAATTATATTATTTATAATAAATTTGAAGAATATCTTTAATCCGTGTGCCAGTTGCCCAATGGCCAATAGAACTCACATTTCATAGAGTATCCTGTTCTCTTTTTTCATGACTATTATTATCCACAGTATCGATTTATATGAAAATTCCTACACACATAAAATTATAAAATCTTTATTAAGCTAATATAAATGCATATTGAACTAACGACCTAGGGGGGCGGGGGAAGAGTAAACGAGAGAAAGAGAATTAATATTTGTATTACATTTCATCGTCGTTAATACAAAGGATTCCAGTCACAATGTGATTCATATACACGAATAATAATATTTCATGGAGCAAAAGAAAGCCAAATAAACATAAGAAATATTTACAACATTCCCAGTAAAAAAAATGCCTAAACTTCGTAGGCAGAACAATCAGATAAGTTGCATGAGGAGCTATGAATCATTCGTGATAGAGCATTAATTTGAATAATAACAATAGACGGTATTTTATGGACAGCATAAAAATCAGAAAAAGATTGCATATGTTACTAATGCTTCACGGAGACATCACAAGACAGAGCCCCAAATTCTGCAGAAGGTTGCAAAGAACGAATTCTGATATCATATTTTCTCGGATTGGAGATTTCACTTCCAGAGGGCGAACTCCTATCTTTTGGCATAAGAGGATAAGAATAAGCATTATCATCATAAGTGTGGTTACTACATTTGGGGCACAAAAGTTTGGTTTTCCATCGGAATAAACCCCAAGAGTGCTTGGAAATGAAGTAGGGTACGCAACTGAACTCTTCAACCTGATTGAATTTGTTTTGATCTACAAAGAAAAATGTAATGATCCCCTTCCTTATGGATTTTGAATATTTGGAACCAATAGTTGACGTATTCCTTCTGGATGAGCTCAGGTTTAGATTGTATCCACAAGTACGACAGCTGCAAGAACAAATCAAAATGGTAATCATAATCCACAGAACCCATCTGGTTTAATGTAAATTAAAAAAAAAAAAAAAAAACGTAAAACGCAAATAATCAACCGAGGATGACATAGGGACTTTTAGAGCTCATTAGGGCATTCAACATTCCTTATAGCATTTCAGATCACTATTTCAGGGTCAGAATGATGTATTTTGGCACAATATAATGGAGATCAAGCGTGCCAATACAGGTATTTGCATTAAAACAAATGAAGATCCATATTCATATGAGCTCATTTCATAATGAAAGTCAAAATCTTGTATTATGTAATGCAACACTACTCTGTTTGAGATTTTGAGCCATATCTACAATTTCGTTCTTCTTCCCCTCCTTTCCCTCAACTCCAGCAACCCAGGCGTTCACACTCATTGAATAACAATATCGCATTGGTTTGCTTATATCCACCTAATCAGGCAAATCTTTTGATACCCTGCAAACTTAAATGTCTGAAAACTCGAAAAGAGTCACTTCAGCCCTTGTCTGGGCTCCATTTTTAATGGAAATTTGGAGGAAAATGAGTCTTGAAATAGTTATTTTTTTGGAGAATGTGTGGTTAAAAAATAGGAAAAAGTTTTTGATTTATGTTCAATATTATTTCACGGGAGATTGTATCTAGCTTCTACTAAAAAGAGGAAGGAGGGTCTACAGTTGATGCAACAGTAAATTAATGCAATTTTACTGTGCATAATGTCATTTCTTATTTTTCATTTTGTTTATGGTCAAACAAGTGTTCTTCCAACATCATGTCATTAGCATTAAAAAAATAATAATAATTTTAGTATATATAAACTGCCATGAGGAAAAAAAAACTCTCCGGACATGAGCATTGAAAAAAAAGAAAACTCCTCACACAATGCGAAGAGGTGACAAACCATGTGAAGTGTATTTTAATTAAAAAAAAACTCTTCACACAGTGAAAAGAGATAATAAACCATTTCGGAGAGTTTGCAAACTCTTCACACTGTGCAGAGAGAGTTGATTACTCAAACCACATTTTTGTTTGTAGAGACTAGAGAATACTCTACAATTTTATTTTATTATTTCATTTTTCAAATGAACCTATATAAACTATATATTTGTTATGAATCTATAGATTCGAGCCCAGAATCCGCTTGCTTGCAAGAAAAATAGTAAAAAAAGAAAGAGTAGAATTGATGAAATATAGTTTAATATTCAAAGATTCACGAAAGGTTGCGTACTAAGGTAACAAAATAGTTCCATAGATAGAAGCTAGCTTTATTGTTTAATTATGTGCCAAAATGATACAAAAAACACTCATCCAGTTGAAATCAATAAGCTTAATGACAAATCACTGCATCTATCAAAAAGGAGAACTCTCAATCCTATCAATCATATTTCTTTTCAATCCTATATAGTTCATATAATTTTGCACATAGATTGATCATTTATTGGTGAATAATTCTTTTTTCTTTTACTGTTGATTTGTTAAAGTTTACTAAAAAAAAACACATTGAAGGGTCTTAGGAAATCATGGATGCTCTCAAGGACAAAAGGTCAGCATAATTGAAATCTGTAGCATGAGAGTAAGTAAGACGACAATGGCAAAATCCGGTATATTATATATATGTCGATTTATAATTTGTTATAAATGTGTAAAATTTATTTGGGGGTGTTTGGGAGACATTTTTATGTAAAAATGCATTTTTGAATAGTAAGTTGATAGGAAATGTGTGATTAAAAAATAAAGAAATTTATTTGGGGGTGTTTGGGAGACATTTTTATATAAAAATGCATTTTTGAATAGTAAGTTGATAGGAAATGTGTGATTAAAAAATAAAGAATTTTTTTTGATTTACGTGTAATATTATTTTAATAAATAATGTATAGTTGAAAAGAAGAGAGAGAAAAATATATTTTAAAAAAATAGGTATCAAACGGAGCCTTAATGTTGAATTTCTCAAGTATTAATTCAATATTGTTTTCTTTTTATATAATTGTATTTTCGAGAATAGAAAAAAAGAGAGAGAGAGAGAGTCCGCACTGTGCGGAGAGTTTGATTTTTCTCTTCGCACTGTGCGGAGAGTTAGATTTTTCTCTCCTCATTATGTGGAGAGAATGCTATCTCTCCGCACTATGCGAAGAGTTTTTGTTTTTCTCTTCACTGTGCAGAGAAATACTTTGTCATCTCTCCACACTGTGCAGAGTCTCTATTTTTTTTTCTCATGTGCGGAGAGAGTTTTTTTTCCTAGAGTTTATATACTAAAATTATTATTATTTTTAATGTTGATGTCATGATGCGTGTGTGGAAGAAAATTTGTCAATCGCCATAAACAAAATTCTTCGCAAAATGCAAAAAATAAAAATACATAATAAATCTTCTAATTATGCTAATAAAATTACAATAAATTTTTTTTTACAAATAACATAAAAAAAAATATTTTTATCTTCAACAAAAAAACACATTTAAAAATTAGCAATTTCATAACCATTTTTTTTTTATTCTCGGAAATACAATTATAAAAAAGAAAACAATATTGAATTACAATATTTAGTACTTAAAAAATTCAATATTAAATAAGTTTTATACATTTATAACAAATTATAAATTCATATATGCGGCTTACCGTATTTGCAGGCAGCTTACCGTATATACAACTTACCGTATATGATGCCTACCATATTTGCAGTCTACCGTATTTGCAAACAACTTACCGTATTTTCACCTTACTGTATATGCTGCCTACCGTATTTGTAGCTTACCGTATATACCGTCTACTGTATTTACAGCTTACTGTATTTTTATTTACCGATTTTTGCACTTATAAATACCGAGAATACAGAACATCGTACATTCACTTACCAAATCGAATTTAAAAAAAAAAATTCAGATTTCTATTTTTTCAACATAAGCATAAAATAAATATTAAATATATATATAAACCACAAAATATAAATGCATATAAATATGGTGCTCAATTTTCAATTTTTCAACATGAAATTACACAAAATTTAGAAATATAATCTTCACATTCAACTCAATCATATCAACACTATCAAAGAATAAAAATAAAATAATTTGTATAATCTCGTATATTTCTTATTTAAGTATAAAATATACAAGTATATTTTTTCTAGATGACACAATACTGTTATGCAATTGTAAAAATAATTTGCAATTATTTTCTTATATCATAGAAATATTTCTAGATATTGCTTCAAAAACTTTTCATAAAACTAAAATTCATACACTAATAAAAATACGATAAATACTAAATTCGTGCAACGCAGTGACAGTGACTAGTAGTTGAAAATGAGTTTTGGAAAAAATGGAGGCCAAATATTAGACTCAAAGCTGCCCTCAGTATGTCCACTGACTACAACAGGAAAAAGGGCTTTACTTTCAAAACTTTTCATACATGTTTCCACAGGAACCAAATGCAATGATAACAAAACTACCAAAAAACACCACTGCTTCCAACCTTCTTCATCTTGTTCATTTGTCCTTCCTTTTCGGAGGGGTCCTGTAACTCGCAATGCTTACCAGTTCCTGAGTTCCTTTTTCTTCTTCACCAATGGATCATGTTAACTTGAAAGAAATACTTCACTGCATTCAGAAACTTGTTTGCCATAGCTGATCCTTTCACCTGTAACTCTTCACGACCAGACAATCTTGTTTTATTTATTTGTTTTTCTTTATCTTTTTTGTTGGAAAAAGGAAGGGCGAGGTGAAGTAAAGGAGAGTTCTTACCTCTGTTAATTATAGTAAATTTCAGGATTAACCAGATGAAGATTGAGATTTGAATCTATTCATCTATTCTAGTCTAGAAAAATAATCGTGAGTTGATTTTATCAGAAATATACGTGTGCTAGCATTAGTTGCATTTGGCCTACATCTGCCTATGTTGTTTTAATTTTTTTTTTATAGCTAAATCATTAAAACCCGCTCAAGTTATTCATGCATAACTACCTAACCACTGAAGAGTATGATGCCCTGTTCTTATAGTTACTCTTCTCATTCTCTTGAGAAGTAAAGAAGTACAGACTTAGTGGAAAAAGGTTGACAAAACCCATGAACAATCTTGTATCAGTCTTTCCTTTTGATTTCATCTCTCATTCTCTTTTAAGAAAACTACTTCGCTCTGAAAAGAGAAAAAGGATGCCACTCATCTCAACTGCTGGTTAAGAAAACCAAAAAGTAGAAAAAGACTAGATCACTTTAGATTTCCTTCATCCAATATTTGACACGAGAATCATTAGAGCAGTATATAAGTGTAGGTTGTGTGTTCTGTGCAGTTATTTGAGTTACAATTCTTGGCAATAGATAAAGCCAACAATAATTGTCTTGGGACTCCCTATCCAAAAAAATTATCTTGGGACTCTGCAACTCACGTTGAATACACGATCTCATAGCCTTGATGCATTATACAATGGTATTCCAGAGAGCCCCACTTAGAAGTGCGGAATCTAAGTGCTATGTTTGTGCTTGGATAGAGCCATCTTTAATTCAATGTTGATAGTCATACGCAATTCCAAAATACGTTAGAAATTTGATGGTAAGAGATTGTGTAACCACAATTGTCAACATGGAATGTGTAGCACGTGAAAGTATATAATAGGTCTATCTTGGAAGTCTAATTGAGCACTCCTTTGGGCAGTGAACAAAGCCTACTTCATCTGTTTAAACAACACCCATCTTGTATGCTCTAGAGTAGAGGCTCAGGGCTATAGACATTCATAATCAAAGAACTCAAATCTGAAGGACCTGTTAGAACACCACTAATGATAACAGAACTGAGAAATATTTGTTTTACATATATCTTCATCTTTTCTTCTTTGTTTTCTTGTATTCTGTGGTTTGTCATAACAAAGGAAAACACCATGTAAACCAAGAGAAAACCGTCATACGCATTTTTTACAACTCACTACAAGGCTTTCTATAGTTTAACCCCTTTACTTTATCTCAAGAAGCCCAAATCTAAGATTACCAATACTTCAAC